TGCTCCGGTGCTTCAGCCGGGGAGCGGGGTTGGGGGCTTGTCTAGCCCATTCAGGGCTTTAAAGAGAGAGGCTAATACGAAAACTGTATCAGCATTCAGACCACAGTTGTCACTAGCAATATCTTGAACTAACTTCCTTCCGTCCAGATTCCCATTTCCTTAAGAGAGTGCAGTAGCACGGATACAGCATTGTTTCCATTTTAATATGGAATTATACTTAATATATATTTAAGTAATTATACTTAATTACTTCAGTATAATATTTTTCATACTGAATCCAAGAAACTTCTAGTCTTACTTTTCAGTTCTCTTGCACCCCAACTGGCTTTTTAAAAATCATGCATATTCGCTATCTTCTCTAATCTGGGACAATGCAGGGAACTGATGGGCTGGCTGGCGTAGGTAATTAAGGGCGTCTTCTATCATCATTTATGATTGTTTGGGGAGAGTGTAGGAACTGACTTACATTTGTTTCTGTTCCCCTCTTGCATCAAGACTTCACATTGTGAATCCAATCTGTGAGAATGTTGGTGGTAATCAGCCTACAGGCCAATCCTGCACACATTTGCAAGGCAGTGGTGCAGTGTAGCCAGCCAATAACGCAAAAACGTACAGAGAAGCAGTCTCTGCAGCAAACATCTCCTGAGTTACAAGAGTCAATAGGCGCTGGGATGAGACTGAAAACAGCCTCTCGTTCTCCTAAATCTATTCTTAATGAAGCCAGCTTGAGCCACTGCCTCATACTGCTGCTTTATTAAACATATGTGAAGCCCACCACTGGGAGAGGATGGGATTAAAAAAGGCATTTTAAAGAGAAAGATGCCGGACCTCCTAATGAACAGCACTTAAACCAATAGTCCCACTGGGGCATTTGTCAAGTTCTGCTGAGCTGTACTGATATTCATAATTGGTAACATGCTGCCACATGCTAAGAAAATTCCTGTTACCTTCAAGCCTGGGGCAGCCACAAACAGCAAACAAAATAATTACACACAGAAATCTTACCCTTCAAAACAATCCAGACATCTGAAAGAAAAATAAAAGGTCATTTGTGTTCCAAATGGAACAATATTTCCATTTTGTCTTAACTTTCACACCAAGCTCCTTTCAAACAGCTTTTCCATATTTACATTTCTATGCTCAAATTAGAGTAGCAAAGCTATAGCAATGAGGCCCCTGTGGTGACAGCTCATTGCATTCAACCGGTAATGCTCTGATTCTAGCAGCCATCCTACAAGAATTTGAATTTAGTTCAGAAGCGAGGGAGCTTTCTGATTTTTATGCTGTTTCAATATGAATGTTCATTTTGTAAGGATTTAATTTCATTTTGCACACAATTTTCAGAATATGGGATCATTCGTTTCCCTCTAGATTTGTTACTCTGGAGACTTGGATTCAAATCATAACAAACACAAATGGAAATGAGTTTGGGGATGATATCTTTTTAGTCCTCATTTGTCCTTGTCACCACTGTACTGCCTCTTTGATTTTGATTCAGGAGCCTAGGGGTAAAGTAGCAAGTGATGTAGGTCAGGATTGCAGTGCATTGGGAGAGCGAGGTGGGGAGTCTGACTGGAATATTGCAGGTCTGGCTTGAAATGCATGGTGTTAAGGGGATATGTGTGTGTAAAATTGGACTAACAAGGGGGTTGCAGGTCAGAATTTAGGACCCTTGGCAGAGGTTTCTGGAATCACCGCATGACTGGAATAGCATGGTCCTACAATTCAGAGCTGAGATGGATTGGAAGTGCTTCTTTGGGAAAAGCTTCAATATCTCCTTTCCACTCTATGGGTCAGCCATAGACAGTGCTATCGTATAGTTACAGATTGGGGAGTTAAAAACAAAATTACACAAATTAAACTAGTTATTTATAATTAATTGGCTTAGTCTAATAAAATTAGACCTTTGTCTTTCTTTTCCTCCTTTTGTTACTTAAGATATTTCTGTGCTTCACTTTGAAGCTTGTTAAAACTTAATTTTTTTGTTTAAAATGCAAGTCCCCTCCTCCAATGGACCAGTGAGTACAAGGGGGCCCATTTTCCCTCTGGGAAATGCAAGCACTCAATTCATGGGAATATATAAATTGCTTTCATATTTCCAACACAGTCAGTCCATAATCTCTCCACTCATTTTTTTTTTCCACATGAACTTTGACATTTTCAAATACTTTTCCCATTACAGTGCAGAATTTTGTTCATTCTTCTGTTCTAATTACAGAACTTCCTTATGGCTGGGAGAAAATAGAAGACCCTCAATATGGAACATACTACGTCGAGTAAGTGTTTACACCAATTATTCACTTCATGTGGACATCAGATATGGTAGAGAACAATGGAACAGTTGATATGTAATAAATGCAAATTGTAATTCAGCTAATTTAATGACTATGTATCCACTGTAAATTAAGGGCCAGTTCTGGTGGCCGTAACTGAATTGTGTACTATTCCTATGAGTTAATATGTAAGATGATAATGTGTGTAGCTTCCCTTCACACTAATTGAGATACATCCATCTATCATCTAGAGGGGAGGAATCAAGTAGTGACCACTTCCCTGGGCTGGAAACCAGAGAGCAGCAAGTAAACAGTAGGGTTCACTTTGATTCTCTGCCTCACAAATATCCATGTGACTTTTTTTTTTCTTGTATAACTAAGAATTATGGTAGTTTATTACAACCGTAACTTTATCTGGCATTAGTGACTTTGCCCAAGTGGCTGAATCTCTTTCTTAATATCCTTATTGT